AGAAGAAGAAGATAGTCAAAACAGGATAATGATGAATTCAACGCTGCCAATGGGATTCGTAAGGCGGGGGGGACGGTACATTTACGGAAACATGCCATGATGTTATTCATTACTTGATCGAGACATATTCTGAAACAGCAATAAACAGAAAGGCCGTACTTCTATCCTGTACAGTTAAAGCTGGGGGGGCAAAAATAATAGCACAGGAATTAATATTGGGTTATCTAGATTTCCCACAGGATTCAATAGAGGTGACAGTGACAGACAGACGGTGATGGTAGGGCTGCACATGGCCCGCTCATTGGCGGTGGTCAGTCTATCTGACGTGCGTCTTTCTGGGGATGGTGTGGGTGGCTCTTCTAGACTCGGGGCCCGTGGAGCAATGACCAGGCATGGTCTTTTGATCTTAGCACTAAGGGAAGTGAGGATGCCCGATGACCTGCAGATGGTCAACGATCTAGATTGATAGTCTTTGTGCTTAGTTTTATTTGAATTTTAATATATAAAGTGTCCCTTCATCCCTCTGTTTTTGCCTCTGTCCATAGTACTCAAGTCACTCAGTCTCATCTGTCAACTAAATATAGAAGTCGAGGTGAGTCTAGACAGGTCACGTGTGGCCATTGCGTGTTGCCCGCGTCTCTGCCTCAGGCCGTGACTGCCGGTCTAGAACGGCAGTTGACGTGCTTTACTTACCCTATGGTCTACGCATACAAATACTGACAGTCATGCTTTCTTCATCAGTTGATCTTTCCCGGGTTCTCTTTCTTCTTTCTTGACATTTTTGAAATCATTTCAACTACCGATAACTACCTCTCTTGACTACCTGTCTTAACACTTCTCTTAATACCTCTTTTTCTCCCCCGCACTACAGCACTCGTTGGATTATCCTTATATTGTTCCACATTCTGAGCGATTTCCTAGACCTGTCAGCTGCTCTACGTTAATCCCTCACTGCCCTTGCATACGCATTCGGTAGAATAGTAAAAAATCAGAGTAAAGACGAGGAACAAAGAACCGGACTAAGAGAAACCACAAACGGTATGTAGCTTATCTTTCTCCATTCAGGATCTGTTATCAGGTGCCACGGACGGTTTCTAACCGGAATTGTGCCAGTCCGCTACTTCGTATTCGCCGGTCTCAGTCGAGCTTATCACCTTTCTCGCCTCCCTCCCGAGTACATATTCACTCTGCATTATCATACATACATACATTCCATTTTCGCCTCTTCACAGGAGTGACGATCTCACCGCGCGTGCTCTTGTCCAACCTCGGGGTGTTTCTGCATTGGTTGCTCGGCTTTCCAGAACTTGATCTTCATTCTTTTTTTTTCTACTTCCCCCCCTTATCGAGTACAACGGTCTGAAACGGCATTGCCCTTTTTTCGTTCAACCCGGGAAATCTCTCATACTGTGCTGCGGCTTCCCTATCAGCATTTCACCCAAGGTCCACTCCATTCCGATAATCCACTGGGGGACCGGCCCTCGCAAGGTACCATCGAGTCAACTATCCATACCGAATTGTCAATAGTTCCGTCTCGTGGATGAGACGAGTCTCACCGCCATCCATGACTCAAAGCACCGCTCACACCCTCCATCCCTCTCCCTTCTCCTCCTCTCATCATCACCAACACCGCCGCACTCCGTCTAATGGTTCCAAGTTGAGAGCTGTCCGGCCCGCTCTACATCGACGAGGCACAACAAATTACTCTATTCACAAGCTGGGTTCCGGTCAGGCAAAGCAATCGGTCAGTGTTGACGACGATTGCGAGTCGGAAATGGCGGCCAGCTTTCTCAATTTCTGGTATGTCCAAGAACCTTACACCCGGTTCGGTCATCTGCGGGTTCCCTATCTATAGATAACCTTGCGTCGACGCGTCCATTGTTCCTCAAGGCTGACTCGTTCTGCAGCGCCATGTGCGAGAGACAGATTACTGTACCGGACAATTCTCTTCTGTACTGTAGTGAACGGTATGCTATAAAAACCTGGACGTTTTTCCCTGGACTCCTACTAAATTTTCCATAGCTGCCGCCGCAAAGACTCTTGCAAACCATTGTCGGCTTCTTGCCCCTCTACTGCCTCCATGCCTCTCTCTACCTCGCCTCCGACCTCTCCTCCCATGTCGCCGCGGGCCATCGTGGCTCCCATGACACCCACCCGCAAGCCCAGTGCTGTCATCCGGATACCCGGCGAACACCACGATGCCAAGACAGATCTTGATCCAAGTGAATGGAAGCCGGTAATACCAACGGGCTCGGTGCCCAATGGTCTCAGCACCTTGGCGACATCCGAAGCTTGGAATTACCTGTCTCAGTTCCACGATGAGCCTATGGCGCCCACGCGTCGACCTCGTGCCATCCACCGCACTTCGACGACTAGCTTGTCCGCGTTGAGTGCACCGAGTATGTCCGGGATCGCTCTGCCGGCGTTGACCAGTACTCCGTCCACGGTCGCTTCGTCCTTTAGTAGCAACGCGTCAGAGGGATTGTTGCACGAGCCGATTCATCATCGTCCGTTGCCACCTCGCCATAGCAGCTCCAGTGTTACCAAGGGTGTGCAGCTTGTGGTACCCCATGTGAAGACTTCGGCCGAGGATGTCACGGCGCCTGACATGTCGGATCACGGGTCGATCTTCCCCGCCAGTAGTTCCATCTGGAATGGATCCGACAAGACTCTGACAAGAGCTTGATTTCTCTTATGTTTACTATCTTTATTTGTTTCACGAGCCGGATGGACACACGGATGAGGATATCACGATTGACTGATGACTTGACGGGCATGTTTTTTTTTTTTTTTTTTTTTTTTTCCATCTTGATTTCCAGCGATTCATGAATAGATTTTTAATCGGACAACCGGATAATTGCATAGGTAGATAAGCACAATTACTACTGTCTTTACTGGACACTTTTCACTATCATCCACCGTAGCACACTCTGGGACTACAACCATAACCGTCTGAAACACAACACATACAACACCCCTTCTTTAGCACCATCCATCTATCCATCCCAAATGAAAAAAGAAAACTCACAAAAGAAACTTCCACATTCAAGCTCCACAAGTCCTCAGGCAGACAGTGTATCCTCGGAAAAGGCCGTGGATGGAACCGTGAACTGGGACGGGGCTGGAGATAGAGGTTGTGTACGATTCGATAAGACACTGTAAATAGAATAGAATGGGTATGTTAGTTTCTATGGTGTTTAGTAGCAAGTAGCGGAGAATGATTTGCTTGTTTTTTAACCTTTTTAAGTCATAGCCTGCTATGTATATCATTTACTGATCCAAGGCATCGCGTGGCGTGGTGTTGCATACTGGACATGTAGGTGGCGATTAGGCATCATACACACAGGACGCATTGACGTTTGTATATTAAATTGCGGATTATAGGGCTGGTACTATGGTGCCTGTTAATGAATAAAGAGGAATAATCTGTAGGTTCTGTTAAATCTGTGAATGTCATCAGTTTGGGTATAGACATCCTCATCAGGTTATTTTGAAATTTTGTCTCTCGCCTTCTGTAAGAAACATCGTCGACTGTTAGATACCATCAGTGCAAACATCCACGGCGCCAGTCTACGGAATATTGTCGATTCTGAAATATTAAGTTAGCAAGTTGCCGGCAGAATCTCTAAGAATAATACATGACATATTGTGCCCTCACTTGAAACCAGCCAGAGTTCGATACCGAAAATTGAGGCAAGCAGATCCCAGGTCTTTCCTACCGTTTGGCGTGAACTCCTGGACACATGTGCTCAAACCGGGATTTCCGCATGTTGATATGTCGAAGTTGACTTTTCGTGGCTTCAAGGCTTTCGTTGGTTGATATATTCTACACCCTGTATTTTATGTTATACTTAGAATTATAGATGCTGGAAACTGATTGTATGGGTATTCATCGAAATCATTCATATTCCTACTGCTTTTCCTTAAATAAACGTAAATAAAGTCCACATCAAACAGATTAAGGTGTGCAACGACCAGTGAAACGAGGATACAAACTGCAATCCCGAACAGTGTACCGAGCACACAACCAAGCCAGGAATCTTTCGAGACCGAGACCGTATCCACCGTGGGGGGAGGTACCATACCTACATTAATTGTTAGCATCCAAGTAATGAAGAGGACATAAGAGAGGGGGGGAACCCACTTTCTCTGGTCAGTGTACCAGTAATACGGCGAAGGATCCATGCCCTCACGCTTGTAGGCCGTCATCAACTCCTCCCAGTCGTCCATTCTCATACTACCACCGACAATCTCACCAACACCAGGCATGAGGACGTCGACACTCTCAGTGACGCGACGGTCTTCGGGGTCACGCTTCATGTAGAAGGCCTTGATCTCGGTAGGGAAGTGGGTAAGGAAGATGGGAGTGTTGATGATGTCGGTCATCTTACGCTCAGCAGCCTCAGCAATGTCATCACCGAACTGGTGGGGCTTGCCCTCTTCGTTGGGGATGTCGTGCTCACGCAGCCATTCGATGGCATCGGCGTATTTCATGCGGCGGAAGGGACGGCTGGGGGGCTTGAAGTCGGGGTTGAGTTGGTTGATGAGAGCCGCGGTGGCGGGCTCCGCCAGGGTAAGTTCGATGACGCGACACATGACCTCTTCGAGGTGTTCGAGGAGGTCGTTAAAGGTGATGAAGTCGAGCTCGGCCTCAAGGTGCGTGTACTCGGACAGGTGGCGACGGGTGAGAGACTTTTCAGCACGGAAGGATGGGCAGACGCAGAAGACGTCACCTAGCGAGGGCAGGCAAGTTTCCAGGTACAGCTGCGAGGATTGAGTGAGGTAGGCGTTTTCGCCGTAGTAGTCGAACTTGAACAGCGTGCTGCCACCCTCGACCTGGGTCTGGACCATCGCGGGCGGGGTCACTTCGAGCATGCGGTTCTCCTCGAATGCCTGGCGGAATGCCCGCAGCGTGGCCGCGCGCACCTTCATAACAGCCGATGAGGTCTCACCACGGAGCACCAAGTGACGGTTGTCGTAGAGGGTCTGCGGGTCCGCGTCGGGGGCGACACGGGTGGTGATTGCTTCCTTGTCACCAGCAGCACGTCCGATAACAGTGAAGAAGTCCGCGTGGAGTTCGCGGTTGTTGGGGGCGTGTTGCTTAGGCGGGACCGCCTTCATCTCACCGTGGATGGACATCGAGGTCTCAAGGGTGAGAGTCATGGCATCGTAGGTCTTGACCAGGTCACCGGTCAGGACACACTGCAAGTATCCGTATCCATCAGCCAGGGTCAAGAAAATAACACCCTTCTGAGCGCGCAGACGATGCACCCGTCCCAGCACGCGCACACGGGTTCCCGGGGTCTCAGACTCGGGGGAGCCCAGCTTCACGACCTCCGGGTCAGTGACATCCAGACGGATGCGGGTAGGCTTAGGGAGCGAGGTGTCCTCCTTGATGACAACCTTCTTGGCCTCCTCCAGAACCTGCTGGCGCTTGTCGGCCTCTTCCTTCTCCCGGATAGCCAGCTCCTGCTCCTTGGCGGCCTTCTTCTTGCGCTGCTCATAGAGGTTGGTGGCCTTCTTTATGGCCGACTTGGCGGCGGGCTTCCATTCCAACTTGGCGGCGGGGTCAACATTCTCGCCGGCGGGCTCGGTCTGGGACTTGCGCATGAAGTACTGCGTGCCATCGGTGGGAGCGTGTTGAAGGAAGGCATGGGCGAGGGTCTTGTAGGGTGCGGATTCGGAGCCGTTGGCGGTCGAGTCGTCGCGTCCGACGTCCTCGTCAACGTAAATAGACGTCATTATGAGAATTTCCTTTGGGGTGTTGAGAGGGGAGTTCGCCGAGAATGTGGGAGTTAAGGGCTGTTATAGGCCGCACATGTGAGTCATGAGCTTGTCAGGACGAGGGAAAAAAGGAAATTTAAGGGCAATGCCACTCACCGACAGACAAGACACTCCGTCTAATCGAGTATTATAACCCGTTCAAGCTCAAGGGAAGCGGTCCGAGAAAAGTCGCCAAACAGTTGGATGGTTTGAATTGAATTTTGAAAGCGGTTGGAGGGGCGGATAAGAGGGGCTTATGCCTCAGGTGTCAGTACTGCGCTAACCTATTCCGGATAACTATATGAATTTACCCCGGACTGCGGAAGAGACGTGTAGATACGCCTACTATGATAGGAAGAATGAAAAATCAATGTATATCGTACTTAGTATGTGCATTTAGACGCATTTGATCTGTTTACCGAAGCCTCAGCTTTACTGTACTCTAGTTGCACAAATATAGAGTCCGCTATCTCTACAGAAATGACACTCACCATGTATTACTTCTTACATGTACTCCGTAAACACTGCATATTTGAGATTAGCGAATAACCCAATGCCATCGTATAGTTTTTCGGCCCAGTTCTGACTAAGCTTGATATATGGGTATACAAATGTCGGTCGGGAGTTGCGTATGGACATGCCGGTGGGCAGCGGTCAGCATGAAAACACACCATGTGGCTATATGCACGCGCGTTCCTATCCCAACCACGTTATTGAGCAGTAGAGGATCTTTGTTCTTATCTTCCGGGGCAATCAAATGACGAGGCTTGAGCCTGCCTCGGGTTGCCGTGACTGACTAGGAAAATCATCCTTCATGGAATGATATTGCTGCGGAAACAAAGCAAAGAACTGAGTCACCTTGCTATGACCTGCATGATATCTAAACCAGTCTGAGAATAATAGACGAGATCTGGAACATGCTGCTGATACATGCGGTCAACAACAGTAGTCACCGCTGGGAGTACAGCAGAGTAGCATGACCCAATGTAAAAACTGGACCCGGAGAGCGCAATAAGGCTTCCAAATGGTTTAAGTATCATGAATTGAGTTGGAGTACGGAGTAGTTTATATCAGTAGTGGACATGTGGTTGATACAGAGTACATGAAGCGACAAAGTGATGAACGGCGATCCCTTGGTCCCCTGTCGACCACGTGATATACGATCAACCCCGGGATTTGGGTGGCGCTGTTAGAAGCAGCATGATCGGTGTGAGAGTACGAATACTCTGTACTCTTACACGTACTCTGTACGGTGTGCATAGCACTCTGTAAGAGTCAAAAGGAACGTACAGAGTAGTAAATACAGAGACGCGACGAATCACGTGGACACACGTGATTGATATTAGATGCCGGAGTGTCGTCTGTAGGAAACAGTTTATAGAGGATCTAAAGAAGCTGGTCGAATAAATAGAGATCTGGCGATAAGATGTCTGTCGAGACTGACGTTATGGTGGGATATAGGTTGTGCCCCTGATCCAGCGGGAGACGCGCCGTGGATCAAGCAACTCTCCTTTTCTCCCTATTTTTTTTATGCTGTCAGTAAAAGACGGTATTTTGTTATGATATTCAAGAAAAACAATAAATCAGAATAAAAAGTGCTTAATCGCATCATAATCCTAATCGTAATTATACAGTGTCTGGGGCTGGCAGGTCATTGGTGATAATATCCCCCTTTTTCGCAGTGACCCTCTTGTCTTCTCCATATTATTATCCTTCACTCACTCTTTTCATCTTCTCTCTTTCTCTCTTCTCTCTTCTCCTATTCGATTCCTTTTGGTGTTCGTTTCTCCTTCTTGTTTCTTTTCGATTCTCCCTCTTCTTTCTTCTTTCTTTCTTTTCCTTCTTCTTACCTTTTCATTTTCTTCGTGACCTCCGCCGGGGATTCTTATATTATTCTTATCCCTTTGGCCTAATCAACCACTGCTCTCTCTCCCTCTTTCTTCTTCTCTCTTTTTCATTCTGATTCTCTTGTATTCTTATCTTGTTACTATCCGTTTAATCTAGGTGGATCAGGCCCTTCTCTCTCGCTGAACTGGTTGGTGCATTCTCGTCTCCTTTCGCTTTTCTTCACGGTCTCCCCCCAAGTGCACATTCCAATCCAATCGGCCTCGGTCCTCCCTTCTAGACACGTCTCATCTAGAAATAATACTCTGGATTTCTGTTCCGCACATTCTCTTTCCTCTATTTCTTCCAAAACTTCGTGTCTATTTCGTGTCCTTGTGGGTGGCATTCAAGCCTATTATTGACTGTTGGCCGTTGTTTTCCACTCTGTTGTCCTTTTTCTACACTCCTCCCCTGGCTTACCCCATTCTCTCTCCTTGCCTGTTATCGATGATTGAGTGATTCATTTGCTTCCCCTTCGTCTGTTTACTCTCTTTTCCTGCGTTCGAATCGGTTTCCTTGACCGGTTCTCCTCCCGTCTTGTCATGCACGCTCCAGATACCTCCTATTTCTCTCATTTAAACGCAGACGCCACTGGTTTCTCCCACGAGGCATACAGCTCTAATAACACCGCTCCATATCAGGACCTTCCGGACCGCAATTCTCGTCACGCCAATATTCCCTTCGATACCGCCTCCACGCCGGGCCACTCCACCGCCGATATGGCCACCTCCGGGACCTTCGACATGAACTTCACCCCCCTTCTTCCCTCTCAACTGCTCCTCGGAAGCCCCTTCCAGCCTGGAACCCCTTCCGCTTTTACTTCGCCACAGTTTACCAACTTTGGTGGTTTCTCCCAACCCAATGCCCCGGCACATTCTCAGAACCCCCAGAACCAGATCGGAAGTCCGACACAGGGTACGCAGAATGGGCTATACTCGGGAATGATGCCACCCGATGGCATGGGTAATCAGCAGTATATGAATGGTCCGCAGTCGCCCATTAACGGCAGCATGGGAGGTTTGGGAAATGCCGCCTTTGGAAGTCCCGCGGCGTCAGTCACCCCGGGCCTCCTGTCGGGAACGAGCCGAACCGTGTACCTGGGTAACATTCCCGCCGAAACGTCCGCTGAAGAGATCCTGAACCACGTCCGCAGTGGCCAGATCGAGTCGGTTCGCCTCCTCCCTGACAAGAACTGTGCCTTTATTTCCTTCCTCGACAGCAACTCGGCTACCCATTTCCACTCCGATGCGATCTTGAAGAAGCTTGCGATCAAGGGAAATGACATCAAGGTCGGCTGGGGAAAACCTTCCCAGGTTCCCACGTCTGTGGCGCTTGCGGTGCAGCAATCTGGCGCGTCGCGCAACGTCTACCTTGGTAACCTGCCCGAGGAAATGAGCGAAGATGAGCTGCGGGAGGAGCTAGGCAAGTTCGGTCCCATCGATACCGTGAAGATTGTCAAGGAGAAGGCCATCGGATTCATCCACTTCCTGTCCATCAGTCACGCGATGAAGGCCGTGACCCAGTTACCCCAGGAGGCCAAGTGGCAGGCTCCGAAGCGGGTCTTTTACGGTAAGGACCGCTGCGCCTACGTGTCTAAGACGCAACAGCAGAACGCCGCCCAGTTCCTGGGGATTGCGCCGGGATATGCGCACATCCTCAACTCCGCTGATCGCGATCTGATCACCAACGCCCTCGCCCAGCAGTCCGTTGCGGCGGCCGCCGTCGCCACGACCGCTGGAGGAGTGAACAACCTGGGTAACCGCACCATCTACCTTGGAAACATTCACCCTGAAACCACCATCGAGGAGATCTGTAACGTGGTCCGCGGTGGTCTGCTACACCACATTCGTTACATTCCCGACAAGCACATCTGCTTCGTTACCTTCATCGACCCGACCTCCGCCGCTTCCTTCTACGCCCTGAGTAATCTGCAAGGCCTGATGATCCACAACCGTCGGTTGAAGATCGGCTGGGGCAAGCATTCCGGTCCTCTCCCACCGGCCATCGCACTGGCCGTTAGCGGTGGTGCCTCGCGTAATGTGTATGTTGGCAACCTGGACGAAACCTGGCCTGAGGACCGCCTCCGCCAGGACTTCTCGGAATACGGAGAGATTGAGCTCGTCAACACGCTCCGCGAGAAGAGCTGTGCCTTCGTTAACTTCACCAACATTGCCAACGCCATCAAAGCCATTGAAGGCATGCGCAACCGCGAAGAATACCGTCGGTTCAAGATCAACTTTGGCAAGGACCGTTGTGGAAACCCACCGCGCCAGACCGGCTCTCAGCCTAATCGCAATGGAGCCGGCATTGACGGTCCGCAATCGCCATCGCCAGCCCTCAACGGCTTTCACCAGAACCTCAGCCAGTCCGGCTCGCAGTCCAGCCCCACGCACCCTGCACTGTCGCCAGCACCGGGCTCGACCGGCTCTCAGAATGGACAGCGCCACCCGTTGCAGACAGTGTCGTCGCCATCTGGGGTTCTGAACGCAGGTGCCAACAACCCGTTGACCATGTACCTGAACCAAATGTCTGCTCAGCAGACACAGGAGCAGGAAAACCGCCTGAACGACCCAATGTCCTTGGCGGCTCTGCAATCCCAATCGCTGCCCCAGCCTCCGACCCCACAGCCGCTGTACAACGGTTCCAGCCCGGATGAGCTCACCAACGGCAGTAGCATCGAACCCCCGATGCATCAGCACAAACCGTCCGCAAATGGGTACTTGAACGTCTCCACTGGCCCTACGGGACCTGGTCACCATGCTACCGCAAGCACCAGTAGCTTGAACGTGCCTCGTGCGCAGCACTCGCGGGCTGTTAGCTTGCCTTCGTTCTCTCAGGAGCCGTTTGGTCCTGTGTCCCAACCCGGACACGGCCGCCCAGGTATCTCCCACGGACCGCAAGCAAGCTTCTCCAGCTTTACCTCTGCCTTGGGTGGACTGAATCACTCTGGTTTTGGCCTGGCCATCCAGAACGACAACCACCTTCCCGGCTGGGCTGAAGAAGAGATTGGCGCCAAATAGATGCATTTTGGTCCGATCTCTTGACATTCCCTTCTATTTTCTATTTTTATTTTTTTTTGGCATGTTTCATTTTATCTCATTTATATTCATTTTTATTACATTTTCAAATTCCTTTGGTTTCTATGTCATCTCGATAATTCCCTTCTTGTATTGGTTCGGTTTGTTGTTTACATTTTGTGCAAAACTTCCCCTTCTCAGCTGCCGATTTCTACAAGATTTTAATAATCCCTTTCTATCATCATATTGTATTGCTATCCCTTTTTGATACTTTTTTTTTTTTTTTTTTTTTTTTTTTTTTTTTTTTTGGGGCTTTTTCTGCTGCTATCTTGTTTACCTGTTTTGTTTGGCTACGAGAGTGCGATGTCGATTTTAAAGCTGAAACCGGTTCAGCTCGGAACTGTCCTTGAATGTCCTATACTGTCCATTTTATTTTGCATTTGCGATGTCATTCCAGCGGATATAATCCAGAGCATATAGTCAGAGTCAGTTCCTCCTTACGAGGTTTATATAGCTGCGGAATCAACTCGTTCACCATGGGACGGGATTGAGCGTTGGACCATAGAAGCAATGATAATAATCCGCAATCTGTCCTTATAATAGTCTTGACCTACCACCAGCTTGTTTCATTCAGTTGTCTTTCCTTGATTGTCCAAGGAATATTTTTATATTTAAGGGTCACGTGGTAATAAACGGAACTAAACTACTTCGGGATCCGCTTGAAGAAACGTGACAGTTCGCCATTCCAGCGGTCGTTCATTTTTACCCCATTCGCCATTCTATTCGCTCTAGATCCGGGTCTCTAATAATAATATCACCTCCTCACAATGGCCCTCCCCCCAGAACAAATAAACATCAAACGCCGCCGCGAAGAAGAACCCGTGGAAACACTTTGTAAGAATAAAAACCCTCTCCCTTGTTCCTAAAGGAGTCACTATACATCTCCATAACCAACCCATTATAATACGTCTTAACTAATGATTAAACACAGATATCCAATCCGAACTCCACCAAACAAAGCGCCGCTTCACAGACTTCGTCTTCCAACGAGTCACTATCAGTGGCAAAGATGGGTCTCGTGTTGGCGGTGATGGTGACGCTGGCCAGGAGTCAGGTAGTTCTTCACCAGCTATTCCACCGTCAGGAAGAGTCTTGAAGACGCCTAGGTCGGTGAGCAGCTTGAAGGTTTCCAAGAAGGTGGCGGGGAGGAATCCATTTGCTGGTCTGGGTATTGGGGGTGCGAGTGGGAGTGGGAGTGGTGCTGCTGGTGGGGTGCCGATGGTAAGGGCTACGTCGCCGGGTGCGGAGTTCAGGGAGGAGAAGCGACTTGCAGTGGCGAGGAGGGAGAAGGAGGAAAAGGTCAAGAGGGCGTTGCATTCTTCTGCGACAGCTCCTGTGCCTGCACATGCGACTGGTCCTGGGTCTACGCCTGCGCCTGCACCGGCGAAAGCTGGGTCTGAATCCCCCGCGCCTACGAGCCGGAGTGGGAGTGGGCGTGCTAGTCCGGCATCTGCTGTATCTTCATCTGAAAAGGGGGCAGCGAAGACGGGCGTATCCGCGTCAGTACGCCGCTTCCAGATCTCGCGGTCCGTGGATCTCCGCCGGAGTGTCGAGGGAGGCATCCAGAAACGAAAGGGTCAATCAGGTGATGCCGTGGCGGTTCTGGTTGAGAAGTTAAGGGGCAAGTCGCATTCGCGAAAGGCGTCGATGGTGGTGGATCATTTATCGCAGGCGGGTGATGGTGCGAAGGTTGCTGCTGCCGCGGCAGTGGAAGAGCCCGCGCGACCTAGGAAACGGCCTGTTGTGAACCAGGCTGAGAAGAAGTGGCGAGAGGAGAGGAAGAATGCAATTTCCGCTGCGAAACAAAATATTTCGCACGTAATGGATAAAGGAGAGGATGAATCGGAGCGGTTGGCAAAGCAGTTTGAACAGATTGCTCTGGAGCTGGATGGTGATGGTGGCAGTACTGTCAGAGATACGGAAATGAGCACAGCACCCGCACCAAAACCATCTCCAACACAACCAAAGCCACCACTCAAATACCAACCCCGAACACCAACTAAACCTCGTCCAGCAGAGACCAAAGCATCCTCAAGGCTACCTTCCGAACACCAATCCAGCGAAGCAGTCGCAACCGACTCAGATAGCGACGAAGACTACGTCTACGACGTCTACATCCGCAAGCCCCTCCCAGAAGCTGGCCTCTTCTCTAACCCGCTCACAGACCTCGAAACCGACCAAGACGCGTGGTTCCGCCAAAATGGCATCGACACGACACGCCAGGACATTGGTGTCATTGTCATTACCCAGGAAGACGAGGGGTACTGGGAGAACTTTGTCGAGAGTGATGAGGAGGAGGAGTGGGATGATGAGGATGCGGATTCGAATGGTACCTCCCCCCTTACCCGTTTCTGAACATCTTTCCTTTGGACAGAATAAGAATGCTGATTATAAAAGCGGAAAATAACCCCGCAAACGACTACCCTGACGAAGAACTCTCCTGGGACGATGAAGACGATGACCCGTCAGCTGTGTATGGGAGGTATCGCCATAACGCAGTTTCTGATAACGAGGAATTTGACTTTGATGATTCTGCGAGTGAGGGGTATGGTGCGAGCAGTAGGAGGTATGGGCGGTTTGGGTATACGCAGGATTATTCGGATGATGAGGATGGGTATTAGCGTGACGGGCACGGGATAGCTATCTAGCTGTCAAATTGCTCGGTTGGAATAGTATGTTTACTCAGCGGTCACGTCATGCTACATTAGTTCATGACAAGCCTACGAAACCCTCGATTGCAGTGATATAGAGGGTCCATGGGATCACTCCGATAAACCCTCGCTTGTGTTTCAGAGTAGACATGAGAGGACTAATCAAAGCAAAAATGAAAAACAAACCGAGAGTACTTCGTCGAAGATAAACAACAACAATAACAATTAGCGGGTTCGGAAAGCACGCAAAAAGAGATTATGATAAAGCCAGAAAATTTTGCCAAAAAAGCTCCCGGCGGGGCTCGAACCCGCAGCCTCAAGATTAGAAGTCTTGCGCGCTACCATTGCGCCACGGGAGCTATTGTTGTGAAACCGATCATTAATAAAGTACAACATTGTATTTTAATAAGTTCATTTTTAATTATATCGTCAAATGTTGTCCCCGAAACTTCCCGGCCCTCGAGACCCCTTATTTCACTGCTGACAAGTTCCAGTGGGGATTTCGTGACTTCGTGTATGCCTTGGTGCTCATCGGTAACTTGGTGGTACTTGTCTGAACGTGTTCCAGGTAGGCGATTCTCCAGGATCTCCGTGATAGTATCTATACAGAGTAACTTAAGATCTGGAAAGTCGAATGTGTACGGCAACGAAATATACTTTGAGGTTCATTAGAACATTCTTGTTGTGTATGATACTAGGCTACAGAAATCGCGAGTCTCTTGGAGGATTTCAAACCAACTATTTTCGTCATGCCCCGGAGACACCACCATGATATTGACATTCGAGCAGGACTCTTTCATATCATGTTCGAACTTCCTCTTGCATTCTGTTCTTTGGCTTGATCCACCTATTTAAGTCGTGGAGGGAGGCGTGCAGCCTAATTCGAAGGACAGCGAATTTCTGGATGGCCCTTTTTGCCGTATCTACCACATGGAGCCTTTTTGTAATTTGTTACAATATGTCCCTCTTCCTTGCAGTATACACAGGTGTTTCACTGTGGACAATTCCTTTTTGTCAAGCCACAGAACCCATATCGCTGGTAATATAGGGCGTCATGTGTTGGTATGAAAGACACTTTTCCCACCTACTTGAGACAGCTAAAGCTAAAGAAAAGAAAAGATACGGAGTAATTTTCACGGGCTTGTGACTAGTAGCTAAAACGAATGCTATTCATATCTAGACTAGGTAGCCTTATGACAAAAATATCGAATCTGGAGAAGAAAAGAAAAGAAGGAAAAAGGCCTATTTACATAAAAAATTTTTTCATGAGGATCGTGAAACATGGCTAAGCAGCCGTTTGTCTTAATTAATCGCATGACATCGTTGCTTGCCAATAAAGGCGCTGAACTGTCACCTGTGACTGTTGAATGAAGGACACTGGAAGTCAAAAAGAGACTGAAAGAGAAGGTCCTCTCTGTTTGTTCTTCGTTAGGCTGACTTGACCGAGCAACCTACTGCACCACATTTATCGGTATATTTGCAGAATTGGCAAGTTTATTTTGAATGTAGAATTTGTATATAATAGTTTTGAACTTGCTGTGATGCTTCTGGTAAATAAGTATTATATCTGAAAAACACCTTACACCAGCAACGTAGTTTGAAATTAGATCCCATTAAATATCGCTCTTCTGAAGACTTCTCTTACAGTGATGAGTAAAAGAGACCCATGTAGTATTATAGGCACAGGTGGCTAACTCTCCATTCATTTCGACCATAGCCTATCCAGTTTTTCTGCCTCCATGGTCCCTGGATACTTCCATGGTCAACGGCTTTCGTCGCATATTCCCAGATTTGGATAGTTAATTCCAAGATCTTTATATAGGCACTTAAGAAACTCTTAGTAGAATAGACATAGAAGCTAAGACATTCCAACGCTGCTGGGGGGGCGCTTTTAATTCCTGTGGCGTCAAGGCAGAAATCGCATATATCAGATTCTGGAAAGTTTATATTAGTGCTACATTATATAGTCATCAAGTCGTCATTCGTTGATTAAATGTACTTGTATTTCAGACAAACCTTGTATGATCCCGGGTTGCTCTTGGGGTGCCAAACCTAGTTCTTGGGTGTCGTTTTTCAGAGTTGTTAGTTAGAATATGAGGACAGCCCTCCTCGAGTATGTATCCAGAAGAGAGCTATATATATCATATATGGCAAAACTCAATCCTAGAAACAGATACAAACAGTGGCTCACTTGGATTTTCTGTTCGGATATGAACTCCCGTGGGTCTTGCCTGAAGTTGGAGCGGTGTCACAAAGCAAGGTACGTTTAGTATACAAGTAGATTATCGGTGTGTCTTCGGGGTTTGAATATCAGAATGTTCTGGCTTTTCCAAAGGGTTAGATGGAGATCTACTCTGCATGTATGGGAACGCGTATAGCCTTTGTTTCATGGCCCGGAACATACCACATAAGCTCCTGTCAGCGGAATCGCATACGATATGATATGACAGAAGTCAAACTCAAGGAGAGACAAGGGCTTCAACCCCTAACTTTAACAGTGTCTGCACATATGAGCAATATTACAATACGCTTTCTTCTCCTTATACTCTGGAGGTCAATCGGCGTTTCTTTCGTATATACTAGAAAGCAAGTACGTATGGAGGTCAGAGGTGAATACTCTTTTGGTGTGTTGGTATTCAGCAGGCATTTGGATTTGGTATTTTGTTACTCTTATGGATAGGATGTAGCTTATTTCCCGTCAGTGGTCTCTAACTGCACCTCGTAAGAAGTACGTTGACATTGATTTGCGGTGAGGATATAGATAGATAGATAGCTACAAAACACATGACTTGAGCAGCAGTCAGTCAATTAAGCAAGATGTACCGAGTGACCCAAATTCATTTGTGCTTCTTTGTAGGATTGCTATCGCGTCATATAATCTCTAGTTCACCATGCCGATATCATAACCGTTGGTGCACGGTTACCCACGACCTTGTAAACAACAAAGCGTTTAACACCCATCTATTACGTATAAGCACATAAATACACGCCCACTCAGCGAGATATGCGCCCCAGCGCTTACAAGGACTTACGCACAACCGCCAAGTAAGATCGTTATGCACCATGGTCTGCTGTTGCTGCCCTCTAGGTAATTTAGAACCAAACCCCGGAAAACGAACATCCCCAACAGCCCCCAAGCCTCGTCTCGAGCCCCAGTACCTAGTTCATTAAAGACAGATCAACCGATAGAGATAGACAGATAGCCGCGCGAATTAGCTCATGATAGAGTGCCTGCATACGGCATACACCCCAATCTCGTGTAAAGCAAAGCAACGCATTGCAAATCAATCAATCCCTTGCCTCGAGAGGTTGATCATGACGCTAAATCTCGTATAACGACCTCCTCGCACTGGAAAATGTTTCTATGGGTGATTTGACTGTTTTCTGGGATGCATTGCACGCTGTATGTATGTATTATGTAAGGGCGGATGGATGTGGCTGTGGAAGGCTGGTGGCAGGTCTGTGATGTTGCCTGGGATGAATACCTGGCGCGATGGGTGAATTGTTGTTGATGTAGATGTAGATGTCGAGGCAAGACATGTCGAGTTGACGTATATGTCGATGTCGATGTGGATTAGATTGATGAACATTGTTCGTATGAATACCATTACTCGTACAGATACACATATGTATAATACATTATATTACATTACAAATCGGTATTTACCGGAGGATTCCAGACCTCCAATATGAACTCCGTAGTACGGAGTCTTAAAAAAGTACATCGCTAATAGCTCACTGATTTAGTCATATCTCGATTACGAACTCTTCACGCCAGTTGAATTAGTTGACAGGCCCAGCCGTGGACCATTGATTTAATCGGCGGAGATCGCCGACATGAAGAAAATCTCGCCATATACGAATCACCTCCAAGGCTAACAACTGGACAAGAACCAAACTTGGGGGTGGACCTTCTCGGGGGAGGGGGAAACTGCTTGTACAAAGTACTATGTATTGGCAATATCTCTGGATGGGCCAGGACAGCCTGCATAGTAGACATAATATGACTATCAGGAGACCTCTACCATGTACAGTGATGCATGCAGATGAATCAATCACCAACACCGAACCAACACCCTCCACCACAGCCAACAGACTCTGCGCATTAACCACCCAGTGTCTACGCAGCCGGACCCGACATTCTGGATGAAAATGTGATGGCGGTGCATTAGTTTTTGAGGCCGGCGACTGACCGCTTGTTTGCTCGTATTGACGGTTCAGGAGTTTTCCAGAGTAATTCCTCTTGTTCCGTGGAGTTATTCTAACCCATCTCCAAATCGGGGGTCTCAGGCTCGGAACATGTCACAAGACACCTACGCATTCTGACAAGTCTGAGAAAAATCCAATCTCGCAGCAAAAACTGTTAGTCGATCAACGGCCGCCGCGGCCGGGCCTGCTGGAGGTCAGTGTTATGTGCCTGCTGCAGCAATAGTAATAATAAGTTGCAATAAGAAATTATGATACAGCTAACTAGTGACAGAACCTGTTATTGGCTTCTATTATTACCCTTTTAGTTTTAAAGGAATGGTCTTTGCCCCACGTGACGGGGCCAAATCAACAAAAAAAATAAATTAAGAAAACTGGTTCGCTGGTTCGCTTGCGTTCGATTTCGAAATCCTCCGGTGGACTGCAGAAAGACTTACTTTACCTCCGGACCTCGGAGTATGAGAGTTATTACTCTACCGGGCACCCTAGAGGAGTTGGTTTCTAACGACCGAGATGCGCCGAATCTTTGTCTTCTCGTGTCGGATATGAACTGGAAAAGAAATAACTCACACTCATCACGGATTACATGTATTACGGAGTTGTACATTGTCCACAGTGAAAGATCTAAGATCGACCGATCATCTTGCGTCCTGGTCTTCACCTTCAACTCCAGACTGAGCAGCAAGAACAGTTTTCTGTCGATCGATGCCGCATCTTGCCCCTCAGTAGCGATCCTAGGGGGTAGGTGAAAGGTGTTGGCAGTTCCAAGAGAGTAACCGAGCACGCCCGCAATCTAGAATCAGGTCAAGTATTAATCTTTGACGATATGATTGATTCCTGATATCATTGACGGCCCAACAACTGCAGGACTTTTTGTTCATTCTGGGTCAATGCTCAGCAGACAACCCACCTCCCCTCTTTCTCTCTACTTTCCCTTCCATCAAATGGGCGATGCTGCATGATGATCTGTTCACCCGTCGACAAGTGACGGATGTGCAATGCTATTTTTGTGGGCTGGGTCCAGAAGACACGACACGTCTGCTGTATATCATCATATCATCATTTTATCGTTCACTGGCTGTCAAATGAGGAAATTGAAGGAAAAAAAAAAAAAAAAAATCAACCATAGTACCATGTATTGAAGATTTCTCCTCGCCCTCTCCCCAGAATTGTGGACTTATCATGCCATCGGTTCCCTGCAAACGAGAGGATTGTACTCCATAAGCACTCTGTAAATTACTATCATCCGTATCAGAGGGGGGTAAAACATCCGACGGTTGACAAGGCGATGCCGATCTTTCTTTTTCAACCTGTGGAATTTGCCGCTTTGCCGCCTCAGGAGGCAAGACCAAGGACTAACTCCTATATCCGTACGCACGCACGTACTCCGTACTCCGTAAAGAGCACAGTCGAGAGTCTGCGGGATCTCCCCGTCCGTTCCGGAAGGCCGATTATAACTAATATCAGACGGCCTGAAAATTTGGTCATTGCTTTTTATGGGCCGTCTGTCACTTTTTCTTTTTTGGTTTCGCCATTCGAAGAGCCAGGCGGAGGGGGGGAGTCCGTCGCCGCCGCCTAACTACTAACTACTAGGCAATATGCAATGCGGCGCAGGAGTTGGGCCCTTTGGCGGCTGTGGATGGGGCTAAGGGTGGTTAGTAGCTTTCCCATCAATCACACCTGAAGATCCCCGCCGTTACACAGTTTACTGTATCCGTAATCTGTAATTAGGAATACCTGGATAGGTGAGTCAGCCATGAGCTGGAGAGCCTCAACTAATAGGCTTGTACCCTCGAATGCTCAGCAGTTCTTGTACCAGTAGTAGTACTCCGGTCAGAGTACGACGAATGCCAGAATAAACTCACAATCCTAGCTAACATGTTCCACGCAAGACCTGCTCGCCACGTTATCCATCCAAAAAGGCTTTCTTTGTTCTTTGGCCGGGGGGTTGAGTGGTTGGGAATGGAACTAGAGCTCCAGACACTGCTTCGAGCACGGGGCACGTGACCGACAGCGGCTGCGGGTCACAATACTATTCTCGAGTTGCCGTAGTATAAGTGGTAAGGACGTACTGAGTAAGCGGAGATAAAGAAGGCAACTAGGAAGCATAGTCGGGGCCTAATATGATCAGGCATACCTGTGCTTTGAACCTTCCATAACTAGTTGATGTCCACTATGTACTAATTGCGCAAGTACTGTGCCGCAAATGCGGCGGTTAATTATCCCTCTGCAGACGTAATAATAAGATACGAGAGTTCTCACGCACAGAACAACTGGATGCAGTACGGCTAATACGGGTGTCTGTACTTGTATTTTTTGTAATAATCTGATCAGGAAAGTGGATCTAGTGGGGACAGGCTGTGCAAGACTTGAAAAAATAGTGCAAAGTCTGTCGGATTGACCGTCCCCACCTGACAGTTGAGTCTCAGATAAAGATAGAGCACTCTGTACTTCGTTCAGAGCGAGAGTATTTGTATGGACATATCAGGATAGATGTAGAATTTATCCAGAGGATATACGCCATACTACGTATAACACATACGATACAGATGTATCATGTATCTGCATGAGTTGGCAATACTGCTGAATACCAGCGTCAGAGCCGCGATCTTATTGGTCTGAGCGTCCCGACACCACGGTTCGGTCGCCAAGGCTGCTGCAGACGACATTCCGCGCCCAATAAGCGCGCTGGTTACCATACAGGAATACAGAGTGCAGGAGCAAAATACATATAGTGAGGAGAAAGGAGAGAGATATTGAGCACATCTTGTAGCAGTATAGGATGAATCTATAGTAGACTAGAAAAAGAGATGGTAGAAGTACTAAATCAATCTAGAATCGAATCTCCGTGATAGGAGATGGAGCTATTGATTGACATCGGGATTTGTCTGCTCCATTGCCCCCAGGAACCTTTTTTTAAAATTAAAAAAAGAGCTCAACCTCTAATATTACTCCGTATCAAATCTGTAACATTGCGGGGAAGTGGGAGTATAGAGATGATGATGACAGAAAAAAAAAAAAAAAAAAAAAAAAAAAAAAAAGCAAATAAGAAAAAACCGAGGATCTCCCAATCTGGCCGTGACGGACTGGAACTGGACCCTGTAGAATATTATAGTTAGTCGACAACGTGACCTGACAAGTCTCTTTGAAAGTGAACTCTCCACTCTCTTTTCTTTCATTCCCTTATTTTGCTCGCACTCTCCCCTTCTTTTTCCCATACACTTCCATTTTTGAACTGTTGCAATTCTTACGAGTCCTTGCTTCGAGACAGACAGATTGTCCACTTCTGTCTGCTACGTGATTCAGTCTATCGGCCTAGGGCTACATCAAACACCCAGGAAACAACAACCGCCACACGAACCAACCAGCAAACAATCCGGGAAAGGAAAAAGAAGGGAAGAAAAAAAAAAAAAAAGAAGGCGCTTTCCGAATCCCAACGTCTCGATTCGCTGCATGGATCCCAGCGTCCTTTCGCACATACTCCCACGGCCTAACTCATTTTGCTGCATGCCACCCTGGGAAACGTTGTTGGGATCGTCGCTGCGATTTGATTGACTAGTTTGACTCGATTGCACTGATTGATTTAATTGCCGTCGTCATTCTATTTTATTCTCCCTGTCGAAATTGGCGCAGGTCAATCCAGCGCTTTAAATCCTGCCCGCCATCACCTTTTCTTTTTCTTTTTTTTTTCATTCGAAGTAACATTCAACTATTTTTCTTTTCTGCAATTCTTCCACTACATATCAAATCACATCAATCGATATGGAAGCTCCTTCATCACGCCAGAGTCGAATGGCCATCGACTCTATCCTCAATCCTTCAGGGCCATCGTCTGACTCTGCGTCTTATACATCACCTGTCTCTCCGTCATACTATACCTACTCTTCAGAAGGCTATTATCCTTCTCATCGTCATTCTCATCAACATCACCGCCAATACCCATACCCTTACCCCGAGAGCACAAGGGCATCATTCTCGTTCCCTCAAGGTCCAGTCCCGATCACCTCGACTGAATCCTCTCCCAGCCCCTACTCCAGAGACCGCTACGACTCCGTATCCAGCAGCAGTTCCAGTCTCACCGCTCCAACAACCTCCTCAATTGCCTCAAGAGCCTCCACCACCTCCTCCACAGCAACCACAGCATCAGCAGGGCTGGAATCGGGCGACCGTCGCCGCCCGCCACGCCCCAAGTACGAAGAAGAAGAAATGTATTTCATCTGGTATCACCGCGTCGACCTCTGTCAGGAGTGGAAGGAAGTCCGCGAGTGCTTCAACCGGCAGTTCCCCAACCGCCAGCGCAGCGGCTTCCAGGGCATCCAATGCAAGTTCTACCGTTTCATCAAGGACAAGAGATGTCCTACACTACGGGAGCAGAGGCGTATGCGCGATGGAGAGTTCTTGCAGCAGCCGTCAAGTCCTCAGCATCACTCGTCTGGGACGACGGGGTCAGGGGGTTCGGATATGGGACCGCCGAAGTTTGGGGTTGTTGAGTGGATGGGGGTTTGGTATCCGTGGATGAGGGAGAATCAGGAGCAGGTTAGGGTCAAGAAGATATCGCGTTGATTCTTTTATTTCTTTTGCTTCTTGCCCTTCTGTGCAGTGTACAGGGGGGTTTAATTATGACGAGGACTCCATGATCAAGATACCTTTTTGTTTCTTTTCATCTTATGTTTTAACTCTACTCATTAGAATGGTCTTTATTACTACTTATTATCTGTACTATCACTGTTAATGACGATATCTGGAAGGTGTTCTGTTTATATTCGGCGAATTCTCGCACAAACTGCTCCTTCAAGCATCATACTATCAACCAATAGCCCAGTAATTACCAGTACCGTATGCTTGTACGCAACACCCAATATAATATAATACAATACAATACAGTAGCAAACCCACAAGTGGAGATTCTTCACACCAAAACAAGATCAAATCCCGAACCCAAATCCCAAAAGAGCACACATGCATATACTTCACACAGATGTGAACACCACTAACCATATTCATACACATACATAACATGCAGAATATGTACATAAATCCCCCTCCTCCAAAAACCGATCCAATAGCATTCCACTGGAAGATACATCCTAGATTTCTGTCGTATCCTGGGGAGAGCAACCGTGCACACCGATAATGAGTTAGTAGTGACTTGTATTCGTACAGCTCAGGATGTATATGTACCTTGCTTTTGGTTCTTTTGATTCTGGTCCATACAAAGTTGGTGAAAAATTGCTCCGGAATTCTGAGGCCTTGGAGATGACTACGAGTATGCCTTCCATAAGGTGTGCTATGCTGTGTTGAGTTTTGTTGATGCTGGTGCTGAAGACTCGAAGATTTAGATCTTTGAGCTTTGTCTCGGCTTGGTCTTTTTTGTTGAGTTGCCATTACTGACAGGTGGATATCTCATTCTTGCTGACGATATATGCACGAACTTGCATGTAGATATTGGTGTAATAAACAACATAATATGGCTGGTATCTACTAATGACAACGGTTCAGAAGAACATAGCACTGAGAATTGAACTTGAGTTGCTCAGAGAGAAAAGGTATACAGTATACAGGTCAAAACAAACCATTGTGAGAGACGGTGAGCTCTGTTCATCTGCAGGCTGTAGACATTAACCGTGTGTCTTACGATGGGTAGCTTGAGATGCATCGCGGGTATTACCCTAAGCTCAGATCTGAAGAGTTGTATATGGATCTCACTTGCAGCTATCATTTGCAGCTTCTCATGGTCGTATCATTCAAGGTCATTAGATCAGTTCAATCGGAAACATTTACATCCAAATAATCCCTCGATTTGCAGATATTGTGGACAGTCTCGTACTGGCTCATTATGGAGCTTGGTGCCAATAACATCAAAGTTACCATAGAATTAAAAAAGTCACTTTCGTGGTGGTACAAGGGGTATTTCCGGACTGTCCTTGACCGTTCCGTGCTCGATTTCTTCCGGGGCATACCATACTCAATCCATTAAATCCAATTATCCTCGCGTATATTCTAATTCGCTTTCGGGTACCCGTATCAATTCCAGCGCATATACGCCGTCATTCCACATACTGTTGACAAATCACTCTTCAATCAATTACGGAGTATACCGAAAGTTAAGATAACTGATTCAATACTGAAGACTCGGTACTTTAAACACATCAAAAACCGATCCCCCATAAACCCGGTCGAGAAACCCCTTGAAGAATCCCTCCGTAAGGAAGGCCGTATCCCGTAAATCACGGAGGCTCGATCTGGATCGATCATACGGTTATGGGGCCATTTCTGAAACATTCAACATCAGATCAATAGTTCACGGTTGAGTATACTCTACTAATTGCGGAATAAGACGAGTATCAACCGTCGACTGAGAACCGTAAGTCAAGCTATGCGTGTGTGACATAGCCCCACGGCTAGCCTCGATCAGTATAGACAGTGCATTTACAAACATTCCTCCCCCCTCCCAAAAAAATTTGGTCTGCCATGTGATTCTCCGACATTTTTCATTTATTCTGTCAATCAGATTCTGCAGAGAATAAACTTTGGTATCAATTATCGAATCCACTGTACTATTTTTTTCCGTACTCCATATGTATCCATATTTAGCGAAGTTTTGCGGCTTCAAAATGGATTAAAATTCAATAACATCGTTTGTTTACTTCTCGTCCCCGTTTAAATCATATGATGGTGTATGGCCCACTCGAACCACAGTTCGATATCGAGAATGCTTATTCTTCAAGTGCCGGTATGGTTGTATTTATGTACTTGTATGTAATACTACGTGTGCCAAAAATACATGATACGATATAATCCACTTGTATTTGCACAAATACGCATGTATTACTGTGCATAAATATACATAACCCTTTACCAAATGTTAAATCATTGCATAAACGAAGTATAATCCTTCTTGAAGAATTATGTGCTCACACACAGCGTACAGTACTCGCATACAGCATAGAATACGAACGGTCTGTAGATACGGTCTGTAACATTAGCACTCCTCTCCTGTATCCCCTATGTACAAGACCTCGCATAATTATACTATACGGAGTACTCCGAGAATAGGGCATCCCTTCTCGCTATCGCCATGCAAGATGACTGATGACTATTCAGTGCAGAGCGCGTGCAGTATGCCTTGCCAAAAATACAGCGTAGTATTTAGCTGCGCCGTGTAGACTAATATGCACTCCCTACATCCCCTGCCCCGGGATATCAAAAGAAGCAATAAGGCGGGTGGTAGTGATAGATCTACGATTGCATAGGGGGGTTATTGCTCTTGGAGTACTTTTGTACTTTGTCCGAGCCAAACCCGCCCGGTAGGCTAAGGTGAGGCTGAAAGAAAAGAAACGAGTGAAAGAAGAAATGAAAACAAAGAAGCAGCCAGGCTGTAACGGTTGATCGTAATCATCACGTTCGTTGCTGACGAAGCTATGTTGGTACTTTGTTCTGTGGTAGAACCGGAATTGGATATCCCATTGCCGGTTAAATCTGCAAGGATAAATTCAGGTTGGGAGGGTGCTGATCGGATGACACAGAAAAGAGTGCAGAGATCGACATTATTATTCAATTTCCTTCGAACATCTACGATTCATGATTCGTTTCCGCATTCCAGATCATTCGTGTTCCCGCACCTTGATACATACGACTGACAATTTGCAAGCTGAAATCAACTAAATTCGAAAAAAAAAAAAAAAAAAAAAAAAAAAAAAAAAAAAAAAAAAAAAA